TTGTTTGGGGTCGTATTCCTGATCACAGAGCCAGGCGAGAGGGCTACCCGGACTTGGTTCGCGGGTAAGCTGATGTGATTGTATGTTTCCTTTTGATGCCTGGTGTTCTGGAACCCATTGAATTCTAATTTGGAGTATGGCGTATTTGTGCATGTGATGTTGCAGCCGCTTCTGTATTGATGTGGGAAGTCTATTCTTCAAAAAAGCCCTGATGCGTCCTAGCTGTCTGTTCTTATGATTATTTTATCGTTGTTTTGGGGGAATTTGGTGATGGCAGTAGATATAGCTAGTAGTTCGGCGTGCCTTGGGGATGGGATGTCTTGATATCTTCGCGTTAAGGTTTCCTCGATGTTCCATACAGCTATGAGGCTATGTCCTGCGTTGTAGCTTGCATCTGCATAGTATGTTTTGGTGCTAGTATCTTCTTCGACCTTCTTCTCTAGGCGCTGAACTCTGTCGTTTCTTCTGTCCGTATTGCGTTTTGTATGCATGTCCTTGGGGATTGGGTCTACATAGATTCTAAGTATTTGTTCCCATAGGGGAGTTTCCAGTGGGATAAGAGAAAGGTTTGTTGTTTCACATTTTAGCTTGGTTGGTATTCTTCTGCCTTGAAGCGATGTTTCCAGTCTTTGTTTTTGTCCTAGTTTGTGGATATCTACTCTGTCGTCTAGTGATTTGAAGAGCCCCCATATTTTATTCTGTATGTGGCTGTAAAGCGGGGTACGCCCAATGCTAGCTTAGAGGCTTTGTGCAGAGTTGTTTCGAGTTTTCTCTTGTGTGTCTTCGCGAGGCTGATATATGGTAAGCGATACATGACTCTGGAGTATATTAGTGCTTCTATGACTTTCCTTAATCCATGCTCTTTGATAACTCTCTTCGGTCTAGTGATCCTGCGGATCATGCCAAGAATGTGCTATGAGTTTATTTAAGGTGAAGTTACGTTTACCATCTTCTTGTAGATGGTATCCTAGCACTTTTATGTGTTTTTTTCTTGCCAATGGTTCGTTTTTTATTGTTAAACTTATCATTTCTCTATATTCTGAGTTTCTATTTCCAGGGGATCAAGTTATTAGTACATATTCAGATTTCTCTGCAGAGCATGTAAGTCCAATGGAGGTCGCGTACCTTTGCACTGTCTCTATACCCCTTTGCATTGCTTCTTGTTCTCCTGCAGATCCTTTAGCCGTCCAGAGGGTGATGTCGTCTGCGTATATGTTTTGTTTCTCATTGCTATGTATAAGGGGGATGGTGACAGAATGGATCCCTGGGGTGTCCCTCTGTCTATCGGGTGGCTGTCTGAGGAGTAGTCGTCCAGTCTTATTTTAATTTTTCGGTCAGAGGGGAAATTTTTCACGTAGTTGTACATCTTGTGTCCGGGGTTTATTTCTTTTAGGTTCTTTAATATAGCCGCGTGATATTTGGTCGAACGCTTTGCTCATGTTTTACCGTATTCGGGGTTTTACCATACTCGGGGTAATCGAGTATTTGTTGTTTGATCCTGATTATCATGTCTTGCGTGCTTACATGTTTTGTGAATCCTATCATTGTCTCCAGTAGGGATTCTTGACTTTCCACGAGCCATTCTAGCCTCGTTAAAACCATTTTTTTTTTCATTGGCTTCCTACAGAGGATGTTAAGGAAATTGGTCGATAGTTGTCGATGGAGTTCGGTTGTTTCTAATTTTAGGATTGGTATAATGATTGCCTTCTTTCACTGGGTTGATAAGTTAACTTACTATGTTAATTTCTTTAAGTAGAAGTGTTCGTCTGGGAGATTTTGTAGCCTTTCGTATGTTATGCCATCCTCTCTCGGGGCAGCATTTCGTTTGAATTCACTAAGTGCGCTTCTTAACTCCCCTTCACAGAATGGGCAGTTGAATCCTTCCGCGTCCTCAATATTATATTCTGCTTCTGTGCCAGGGAAAGTTAATCTGTCCTTGTTAGGGTCGAATGTGTACAGTAATTTTTCTGCTATTTCTTTAGGCCCTGTTTGGTAATGGAGGCATAGTTTATTTGTAGTGTGTTTCGTTTTAGGTTGCCCTAATAATGTTCGAAAGATTTGTCATACTCTCGGGGTGTGTAGTAGGCCGTTTAGTTGATCGCAAGTTTGGAGCCAATTTTCTTGTGCTAACTCATTTGCGTAATTGTATGCTTCCTCTGCGATTCTCTGGATGGCTTTCTTGAGAGCTTTTTTTGGATATATTCTTTTTTCAAAATTTTAACAATCCTGTTTTGCTTGTCCCATAAGCTAAGAAGTTGTGAGTCTACGTACGGCGCTTTTTCGCTGTTTGCTATCCATTTGGTGTTATTTTTGTAGCTGCCCTGTATTTTATCTAGTCCCTGCACCCATGTCAGGTCAGGATTATTTTCTACGGTTTCTTTAAGTTCTTTTCTTATTTCGTCCCACGGGAGACAAGAGATGGCGCAACGAACGCCGCCAACGAACGAGCATACGGCGCCTAGAGCCGGCGTCTTTAGCGGACGATTTTTTCGACTCAAAGGCGGCGCGCGTTCCGCAGGCGGCGACAGTCGCAGAAAAAAAGACAGGCGCGGTAACAACAAGGAACTGCAGTTTCTTGTCTGCTAAAGATGCCGGCTCTCGGCGTCGTATGCTCGTACGCTGGCGGTAGTTGGCGTCGCGACCGCTTGCGCCATCTCTTGTCTCCCGTGCGAAACGGCGCCGTGTTGTTTGAAGACCGGTGGCTTCGCTGCGTTTCCATAGGAGCTAAGCCTTTTTCTTTCTTTGCTTTTTCCTCAGGTAAACTCGCTTTTTGCAAATTTTAGGAAAAAAAAAAAGGCACCACTTGTGGGCGACGCTGCACAAAGTCGTAGCGCGATAGGATAAGAAACCGAATTTCGCAGTCGATTTAAAGAGCCATGGCCTCTCCTTGAATCACCCTGTAGTTCTTTATAGTGTTTGAACTCTTTTTTCGGTGTCGAATATGCGTTTAGGATTATTATATCTGTTTTATGGTTTTTAATTGCTACGTGCTCTTGTTCTTGAGAATTGAGGTGATTAGTGTAATGGATTTATGAGTGTATGTTATAGTCGTCCCTCGGGGGGGGGGGGGGGGGGGGGGGGGGGGAAGGAAGGGGGGGTAGCGGGGTTCTCTCGGTTCCGTTTTAGGAGGTCCCAATTGTGACACTGGATTGGGGGTGAAGGTCATAGCCCGGTATGTCGAAGACTCCGTTACTTTCTTGTACTAGTATAATGTGTGGCTGTTCTTTTGATTGCTGTATGTATTGTTTCAATAAATTGACCTTTTTACGCAAGCCGCGGCTATTCCATTGTCAAATTATTATTTCTCCATTTGGGGAGTTTTAATTCGGTGGTTTGATCTTATTCATGCTTCTTAGTTGCCTCAGTGCCCTGGTTGGGTTCCTCTGTGATAACTACTTTGTATGGGCTACTTTCGGCATCAGGGCTCGGTGATTGGAGCAGGGCTTAAAATCTGGGGGGTCTCAGGGGGTCTCGGACCCCCCACTGAACTTAACGGATGGTCTGAGACCCCCCTCCGCAGCCCCAGCATGAGTGAAATCAAAAGCATATCTTGCGATAAAAAAAGCTTGTTTTCAGAAATCGGACATTTGGGGATTAGCAATTTGAGGGTTCCGGGTACAGCGTGGGCAGAGTCAGCAGTGGGGTTTATTTTATGTGCATCTAGTACATCTCTTCAGAACCCCCCCCCCCCCCCTCCTACCCTCTTGTAGGGACCCCCCTCAACTTACGGTAGACTTTATGCACTGGATTGGAGTCTTTTTCTTAAAGAATTAAGTACGAATTCTAATTTACTGAGCGAGTTTTCAAGCTGCCTTTGTCTGATTTTGAGGTTGATGAATTGTTCAGCAAAAAGGGTATATCTTCTCTGGAGTTCTTGTTGCATATTCTGTATGATTGTGTCCTTTTTTTTTTTTTTTGGAATTCCTTTTAAAATAGTTCATTTCTTTGTTGTAGTTCCCTTTGAAGGGAGTCTAGCTTTCTAAGTATTTCCATTTTGGTTTCATTTTGTGTTGTGTTTGTTTCAATCACGGGTTTGTCCAGGTTGATGCCTGCCTTCATTGCTCTAACAATGTTGATTTGTGACGACGTTTCTTTAGCTGCGGATAGCACGACCACATATTGTTTCTTAGGGTACTTTGCGGGGGTTGACGAAAGCTGGGTGTTGGATTCGTTTGCGGCTGGGGAAGGAGATGATTCAATCGTTCTCCAGCTCCGTCTGTCCAAGGGGGGTGATGTCGTCGTCTTCTGTAGGGCTGGTGAGGTTTTCCTGAGGGGTTACCGTGGCCTTTCGTTCTGGTCTTTCGCTTATCTGTCTCGGTGGTCGTTGTTTTGTTTTTGTAGGTTTTTGCTCCTGCTTCTTGATCTTTCGGTGTGTCCTAGCATTGCAAAACTGTTGCGTGTCGGAAGCCTGGGCCATTGAGTGCTCGTGATGCTACCGTCGTGGCTCTGCTGTGGTTTGCTCCGAGTGCCCTGCCTACTTCTTGAGTTTGTTACGTCTACTTGTTGAGGTATATTTGGTTGGTTAAAATTAATCCTTTATAATCTTATACGGGGACAATAGTGCCTGCTGGGACACACAAAAAGAGAGTCTCGGGAAGAGGGGTGGAGTTCCTCCTTCAGCTTTTCTATTGTCGTAACAGGGGGCGATACAGTTATCGTCACTACCTGTCAAGGTTCCTAGACGGGTATTTCAAACGAGGCGTTAATGACATCCACAAGGTGCTCTTTGCTAATAATTTATTTCGTTTTAAAATTCTTTTTTGTGTCATTTTCAACAAGAAATTGGTGTGTCTGGTGTGATAATGCTCCCTTGAACATTTTATTGTAGTATCCCAGCGTTTTATAAAAGATAGGCTCCCTGGCAGAAGAGCTTGCCTGTTTCAAAGTAATTTTCAAGTCACACATAATAATTTTACACGCACTGCGTGTGCACACAGGCATTAGATACTCCTACGCAGTCTACTACTTTCCATCTGTTTTTTAGAAGTTGCTGCACTAGTATGTTTGAGGGTGATAGTTTATCTGCAGTGAAAGTAAGACTTACTTCAACGAAATTCGAAATATACCCGCCGTGTTCACAAATAGGCTGGATATGATCCAAAATATCGGTAAATGACAATCGCACGTTTGTATTTTGAGCCTGATAGCTGTATTTTTCGTTATAAACGGCCCACTCTGGCGAACGCTTGGAGAGCAGCCAGCGGGGAGCACGTCACATCCGCCGCAATCGGGACGTAGTTTGTCTCGGGACCTTACGTCCGGACGCAGCGGACCCTGCGAGCTATCCTAGCCAATCCTATTCTGTGGACGTAGCCCGTGATACGCTTTCCGCGCGTTGCTGTGCCCCCTCTCTATGGTCACGTGACATTCAAACAGCCTTGGATAGGCCCCGATGGCTCGTAGCATCCGCTGAAAGCAGCCGAAGCTCACTAGCGATCGGGCCACCGCAAGTAACCCTAAAGCTGTTTTTTTTACGAATTTTGAGTGACGGGTTAATCTTCTATAATCTTGTAGAGGGACAATAGCGACTTCTGGGACACACAAAAGAGTGTCTCGAGGAGAGGGGAGATCCTCCTTCTCCTCCTCTCTCGTCGTAGCCGGAGGCGAGAGAGTTACCGTCACTACCTGTCAAGGTTCCTAGACGGGTATTACAAACGAGGCGTTAGCGATATCCACCAGGTGCTCTTTGCCAATCGTTTCATTCGTTTTAAAATTCCTTTTCGTGTCTTTTTCAATAACAGATTAGTGTGTCTGATGTGATAATGCTCTCTTGCACACGAATCGACCAAGAAATAAGCGTCGAAATTTCGTTGTAGTATCCCTTTAATTTCTATGTGCAGCGCCTGGTTCATCTTGTTCTTGCCCGTAAAGCTGAGAACGTAAAAGAGATACACAATGCAGAGCAAAATAGTCTGAATTTGGACTTCAGGAACATGGTATGTGCCCATCACATCCTCATACAAGAAGACACTAGTATATGGAGACGCCAGCCGAAGGTTGAAAACTTCAGCATGGAATGTCTCCGGCATGCAAAGTCATGGAACGGACTGCCACAGTTCGACAGAATAGTGTCAGTCTATCCAGCCTCCTACCTAACAGCTTAACTCAGCACTCCCCCATAGCATTTTTACCGCTCCAATCTCAACTCTCTTAAGCTAGCTCATATTGCCACCACTATACCTTGAATATAGCGGTTACAAATTCTGCGCATGCACTAAGGAAAATATTGACTACGGTAGCTGGATTTGAATCAACTGGCTGAAACAGACAAGCTTGTATGTTTGCCCTGCTTCCATGTAAAAAAAAGTACTATGAAGCCAGCTCTTCTATTTTTAATATAGTAATTTAAAAGCAAGGCACGTACCACAAATGTTTTTGAGGGCTGAATTCAACGTGAGGCACTCACTTGATCAAATGACGTTTTAGCGAACGCCCACGTTTCACCGGATGACACTTTAGCAAATAGTAGGCCGCTGCGAAGCGGCGTTTTCGGTGGGCCAAGTGGGTTCACATTCTTGTAATGAGCCGCCCCAGACTCTCACCGCGAAGCATCGCAAGCCCAGCACCAGAAAGGGGGTGGGGTGTGAACACGCGCCCCCGTTATTCGCTAAAACGTCCATTCGCCTAAATGTCACTGTTCGCTCAAACTCCATTCGCTCAGGTGACGTGTAACCGAATTGGGTACAGAGTATCTTCTCACCAATGCACACCATGGTTAAAACGGCACTCTGGAATGACTGCATATTTGCTAAGTTTGTAGTGCCAGTCACAGCACATATCGGATATGCATGTCAAAAAATGCACACTGAATTTATTTTCAGAGTGATCACGGTGCACCGATACTGTACTGTGCCACCGCAAATCGAGATGCTGAAATAGACCGACCGCTCATCATGGCAGGGTGCCATATCTTCACTCTTAGGCGAGATTGTGATAATGTCATTGAAGCTTTTTAAAAGTGGCACTCTATATAATCTTAGAATTCCTTCATGATTGCTCAGCGGGAAATCCCAGTAATGTTTTCGGCCCTTGCGCCTGATATGAGTCCAATGCCTGATAATCTGAGTGGCCAGAGGGAGTTACACCGAAGGCTACTTTACAAGGTGGGATGCAAAGATAAGTAAAGTACATGAACTTCTATCTCTTCTCGAGGGACGCATTGCAGGGCAGCACGATTCTAGAAGTTACCCTCGGGAAGCAAATTCCACAAAGTGATTTTGAAATTATTTTACAACGAGGAGGTCCACCACTCCTCGCATCCAGAGTCTTGGTAAGTGTCACACACGCAACACCAGATAATCTTTTAAACTTTTGTTGAGGAAGTGTGCACAAAGAAAGCCTCCCATTGTACCAGTCAAGCACGTTGGAACAAGAAATGGGAATTCAGCGAGCTTGCTCACTCCTGTTCTGTGATGACAGTACCAAATGAACTCTTGGGTTTTATAAATGTTTTCTCAATGAAATCAACAGCTGAAAATATGCCTGTTCTATACAAGACAAGTTTAAATGAAACAGTGAATCTAGTGCGTCCACTGCCAAGCATGAATTTATATTCTACAACAAAGAAAACAAAGTCCGGTATTGGACAATACTATATGACAAAAGAAGCTATCAAAACACCATTTCTCAGATTACCGGTATGAAAGTTTCTGTAACTGCGTGTAGACGTATGTCCTTAAAAAAAAAAAAAAAACATTGCATTGTTACTGTACGATTTCTTGGGCTTATTTTTAAGACATATAGGAATACCTCAACTTGAACTATGTCAATATAAATAATGTGACTTCTCCTAATTGCCTGAATCTGATCGAAACCACCCTTAAATTGTAAAAGACGGTGATTCAGTTAGTGGGCCCTCATAAGCTGAAAAGCAGCTATATTGTTTTTATTTATTTAGAGAATTGTAGGCTGCCTGTACAGAGGCCAAGGCAACACTCGAGTACTGGTAGTACAGCAAAAAAACAACCAAACATCATGAGTTGAACAACTTCAGAAGTACACAGTAACATAAAGTAGTGCAGTCAAAAAAATTAATATAAAGTGAACAGCTTGATAAGTCATCAGTAGCATGAAATATTGTGAACATGAAATTTGATTTAAAAGAGCAGTGGGATACATGGGCGCTTCGTGACAGAGAGAGATGAAGACAGGTTTGTGTCATAATGGTTGTTGAGTTTGTGGGTACGGGCGACAGGGGATAAATTGCTGTATATCTATATGTTGCATATGTTATCGGAGAGGAGTAGTGATGTCATGCCGACAGAGAACTTTTCAAGGAAGTCTAAGTCAACGAGCTTTGGGGAGTCTGTTCCAATCGATGACTCTCCGTTGAAAAAAGTTGTTCCTAGACACATCTCTGTGGCAGAATTAAAGGCTCTCCTAAATTACAAAGCATGATGTGATTCGAGGATATTGTAAATTATTTCGCTACATCTCAATCTTGGTATATATCTGCACTTCAGAAATAAAATCAAAGCTGTTGACATCTGACCACAAGGTGCATCAAAACACTGCAGCATTTATTTAAACTATATGACAGCCACAGACATATTCTATAGTTTCGACATTCATTAAAGGAAACTTTTTTTGCACCTTAAACAATTTGTTGCACGCAACCGGCAATGCTCTGAAGAAATGTGTTTCCCCACGCACAATGATGCTCTGGTGTACATTGCCTGTGAAATCAACTAATGTTTTTACACGTATGAGTCAGAGATAAAATTAAATACCAGATTGTTCAGAATGATACTCGCAACGTTTGCATGTTTGCACATGGCTCCCATGATAATTTGTCAATGTGGATATCTCTTTTAGTGGCATTAGACAAGGTGCACACGATATGCACTCATTCATTGCCCTCAAAGTTGATTGTTCTGAACAAAATGTAAGGGCACAAACGAGCTGGTGTACATTGCACATGGTTGAAAAAAAAACCCGAGACTGCGGCTGGTTATCTCTTGCACCCTCCCTCTGATGGTTCTTTGTTAGAAGGTGTCTGCTGATATCATATGTTCGAGGTTCTGCAGCTCTTTGTGTCGAACCTTTTGTGTCTGCTTCGCTTGGGTGTACGTAGTTTTCTTTGTTGTCAAACCTTTTATGTCTGTGTCGCTTGGTCGTAGGTCTACATAAGGACGTGACGGTGAAATAAAATTTTATCTGTGTTTGAAGTTTTGTGTTTGTCCTACGTCCCTCGTTTTCCCCGGCTCCAGGGTTACCATGTCAACATTTGTGGTTTTTCCCATTCTAGAGCCAAATTTTAAAGCTTTTCAAAGCAGTAGAGGACGGTGACCTAAAATAATTCGAAGTTCTGAGGACATGCAACTCGCCAGCATTCAAAATGAACCTTTGCTGGGAATCATGTTCAAAGATAAGCAGAGAGCAGGCTTTTTTCTTTAAAAAGATGCCAGTTAAGGTGTGCCAAACATCATTTCAAAATATTAGTGGAGAAAAATATAGAACCGAAAATCCAATCAGTTGTTGGGTATTAAATGTTATTCCTGGGATCTTGAAAGTTTGTCCCGCAGAGTTTTTTGTACATAGCTTATTTTCTTAGGGTGCAAACTCACTCTGCACGCCTTCACCCTGGAAAACCCAAGGTTATAATTGTGTGCAGCCTTTTTCCCTACTACAATACGACTAAAAACTGGGACATGTCCCTTTCTCTAGAGATATTTCAGTAAAGGGGCTTGTCGCAATGTTTGGTTGCGTTTTTAATTCAGAAAATTATAATTTTAGATTTTAAGGATCCCTAGATTGAGTTTTCGCCATAAGATGAACTCAGCATCCATTTTAACCCATCTCTAAGCAATCAGATGAAAAAATGAAAGAAGTTTACAACACTCTGTAATGCCGAATTGGAGGGAAGGGTACTGAGGGGAGGGTATACCCCTCCTCCCTCCTCCTCCTCCTCCCCCTTCTCCTCCTCCCCGCGTGTTACATCATGGGAAATGTCCCATAATGCACCGCGCGGGACCCTCGTGACGTCACACGTAACGTCATGAGTGACGGCGTAAGGATCCCGCGCGGTTCATTATGGAACATTTCCCATAATGCAATGCGCGGTTACGCCGACGGCGACGCCGCTCAAGCCGGAAACGGGCGCCTAAGAGCTGCGCTCTAATATACTGTTGCAGTTTTTGCATACTTTTGCCCATACCACTATTTGCTTCTTCACAATTCTTTGCCAATTGTGCAAGTCAAGCCCTTACAAGGTAGACTGCAGTAAACCACCAGTTGGGTGATCTTGTGTTTGCCTTACAATATTATGCATTTATATTGTTTGGTTAGAAGTATTACTTTTAAATACTTTTTAGCATTTTGTTTTCAGCTTATTGTGTTGGTGAAGACCGATTGGGTCTTCGCCATTTTTAACTCCTGGTTTTTGAAAGCTCAAAAATCAAGATTATTATTATTAATCATTGAGATATCTGTTTTATTTTACTTCTAATTTATTACACCAAAAACCAAAAAAAAATAGCCATGAATAGTTATAAACTCGATATGCTGAGCACTTCAGACAAAAATGCTACCCTAGCCTATTCAGCTTAATGACAAATCTTTGACAGCATTAATTTTTTGAGGACCTAATTTTTGCAGAGTTTGATACTGAAAATATTCAGAAAAAAATGATTGTGCAATCATATCAGCCCATGATAACAAATACATAGCGCACCACTCTAAATACGTAACTACATTTTGTACCCACAAACAATTCCTCAAACTCACACTTCGCAAAATACTATTGGACCTGCAACAATAGTCGTTTACAATATGTCATCTACATTTTTTTTTTCGTTTTCAAATTACACAGTTCTTGAGTGAACCAGCTGATTCTTTCTAATTTTGTATTACCTGAACAAGAATGAAAAACTGTTTTCGCTCAAGAAAAAAGAGATTCTTAATGATTCTTCATATTTTGCACCATATGTTTTACATTCGCTCAAGAAACACAAGCGTGATAAAATCTAATACCTCTTCCCAGGGAAAATCGAATTACGGGCGTTGCCTTCTGCACCATATATTCGGGAGTTGCACGACTTGAAACTTTTTCTGGAGAGAATGCAGTGGGCATGAACAGCGGACAGAATCTTTCAATGGCAAAAGAAATGATCTGTCTTCTATGCAACATAGAGCGAGAAACAGCCTCTACTTCCCCGAGCAATGTTATTCAACAACCCACAAATCGTCCAAGTCATTTTGGAAAACATCCCACAGGGTCAATATGTTGATACCCTCTTGAACCAGGTCAGTTGGATTGTGTTTGGGCTAGCCCCCTTCTTTTAAAGTGCAGCTCTTAGGGGCCCGTTTCCGGCTTGAGCGGCGTCGCCGTCGCCGTCGGCGTGGGCGTCGCCGTCGGCGTAACCGCGCGGTGCATTATGGGAAATATCCCATAATGGGTCACGTGACCCCCCCCCCCCCCCGAGGTCACGTGACTCCCCTCCCCCCGAGGTTACGTGACCCCCCTCCCCGAGGTCAAGTGACCCCCTCCCCCGAGGTCACGCAACACCCCCCCCCCCCCCCGAGGTCATGTGACCCCCTTTCCCCGAGGTCTCATGACCCCCTCCTCCCCCGAGGTCACGTGACCCCCCTCCCCGAATAATGTGACACCCCCCGAGGCAGGGCCGGCCTTTGGGGTGGGCGACCTGTGCAGCCGCACAGGGCGCCATTCATAGGGGGGCGCCGAAAGGGCCGCCAGGTCATGCAGGGCTCACACCACGAGGGGATAAAATTAAAAACAAAAAACGACCGCATCGCGGAGGGCGCCCCCGCCCCCCCCCCCCCCTTTATGTAGAAAAAGGTGGTGGCGCTGGCCGTTTGGCATTTCGGCCGCAAAACCAACGACTGAGTTCTTGTTATAACTGGCGTCCATCAACTCGTAGCCACCTGCAGATGTTTTACTACAGAGAACCTCTCCTCCGTGAGATTCAAAGTGCCATGGAATGAATCATGAACGACTAGGCAAGCGATCACTTCCGCACAGCTCTCAAATTACGAGCGGAGTAAAACCTGACTCGCGAAAAGCGATGGAGCCAGCATGCCGCACTCTTAGTGCAGCTTATTAAACGGTGGCGCCAAACTCATCGGCGAGCAAATCAGTGTGTCGGAGCAAGTCACGGGACTATTGGAACGGAATTTTGCTCTTAGTTATAACGTACTTCGCTCAGAGTCTCTGATTGGCTCGCAGACAATATAGGCTTCGCCCTTTGCCAAGTTATTTTGAGCCGAAGAATGCCTCCGCTCAGGAGGTCTGACCGGGGGTAAATTGAACCCGATTCCTCCCGATATTCGAGCTGCACTTTGGGCAACGAACGCTGTGGAGTCTCTAGCAGTAAGCTAAACGAGCCAATGCCCCCTCAGCATCCGGTGAGTCTCTGTGCACAGAGGCTTCAACCCGACTGAAAATATAATGTGGATCCGCAGCTCTTTCGTTTTTTGTGTGTGTGTGTGTGAGCGACCAGCTACAACTCCGGACTCGCAATGCCGATCAATGTTGCCAACTCGAAATTCAGGAACCGCCCGCAAGAATCCCGAAAACCGCTAAAAACAACTAAATTAATAACGTTGCGCAAGAAGGGCCGAATCACAGCAGGCAGACCCTGGCGTCCGACGTGAACCTCAAACTCCTGCTGGGCAGCTCACGAAAATTAAGTTTCTCGTTTACATTGTTCTGTGGTACGACATTCTTTTTTCAAGTTAATATTGTCAGCAAGGACATGCAATGCAAAACGAAGGAAATCGTAGCAACCACCCAGCTGATGAAAGCATTCAGCGACTACATCGACAATTATCGCGATGTCGGTTACGAAACTGCAGCTGGCAACTGCGAACGGTCTTCCCGAGAGCATGGGTGTTGACAGTGTGATGAAACCGGGCCCCTCCACGTCGGCGGAAAAAGCGCCGATTCTGTTATGAGTGCCAAGACGAGGTTGATGATGTCGAGACAAAATTCAAGCAAGAGTTCTTCTACGAGATGATTGACACCGTAAGATGTCGATTGAAGAACGCTTCACGCAAATGCAGCAGCACGTGAGCTTGTGGCGGTTCCTTTACGGCCTCAGCTGGCTTCCCCACAAAGCAGAACTTAAACTTAAACCATGCACTGAGAGTCTGCGACACCTAGAAAGTGCAGACATGGACGGTACAGATCTCTGCGGGGAGCTGATATAGCTATGCAGCCTTCTGCCCACTGGATGCAGTGCTAGCCAGGATGTCCTCCAGTTCATTATGGTCAACCATCTATGTGACAAATTCCCTTATACGTGGGTGTCATTGAGGATCCTCCCCACTTTGCCAGTGTCAGTGACCACCGCTGAGAGGAGTTTCTCGAAATTAAAGCTTATTAAGACATACCGCAGATCAACCATGGCAGATGACAGGATATCGTCATTGTCAATTTTGTCCATTGAAAACAGGATACCGTCTAGCCTCGATATGTCACAAGACGTAGCCCAATTTGCGATGTTGAAGGCTCGGAAGGTTGCCCTCTAGGGTACTTACATGGTTAACTTGTGCTTTTATTTTCTGCGTCCATCAGACGTTAGCTTGCTATTGCAAACCCACAGCTGAAGTTCGGGTAATCTAAGAAATAAATTATTCTAGAACCTTTGAACACGGTGCCGACAAAACTCTCAATGCTCGCGAACGTCGTTCGTTTCTAGGATGTGGTTTTCGACAGACAACGAGAAAATCGCGACCATTTGCACTGGGTCACTGTGGCATGTTTGCTAACAACGTGATGTTGGGTGCGAAAATAGTGTGTGTGTGTGGGGGGGGGGGGGGCGCCACGGCTGCAGTTTGCCCAGGGCGCTTGCTGCTCTAAGGCCGGCCCTGCCCCGAGGTCACGTGACCCCCTCCTTACCCAGGTCACGTGACACCATCGCCCCCCCCCCCCCAGGTCACGTAACCCCCCCCCCCCCCCGGAAGAGATTCAAGAATAAGGGGAGGAGGAGAATAAGGAGGTGAGGAGGAGGGGTATACCTTCCCCTCAGTACCTTTCCATCCTCCTCCTCGAGAGCTGCGCTCTAATTCGGCGTTACAGGGAGTTGTAAACGGCTTTCACTTTTTCTGACAAACATGGTTTAATTTTGGGTAGCGTCACCGCACTGCCTTGCATTTTGGGTAGCATCACCGCACTGCCTTGAAGCGAATGATGAGTTTCTTAATATAATTAAATCTATTTATGTCACTTCTTTTCCTTATAAAACGGTTGTCGTTAGAAAGCGAATACGTAAACCATGGGTTACCCCAGCAATTTTACAAATGATACGAACAAAAAATCGCTTACATCAGGTGTACCTTTCTTTAGGAGATGACGGGGATCTTACTGTTTAAAAAAAAAAATATCGTAATCAGCTTACATCTGCTCTAAAAAAAATCAAAAACAGAATATCATAAACATCTATTTCATGACTCGCACAAAAGGCGTCCTGTCATTGTATGGCAATCGATAAACAAAGTTCTTCAACACAGAAAACATACGAAACAAATAGATTCACTCTCAATTGCGAGTGAAACCGTATCAGGGGTACAGCTTTCGGAGCATTTTAACCGCCACTTTCCGAACATACATTCAAAACCACACAATGAGAGTGCGTCCTCGTTCATCGTGAATAGGGTAAATGAAAGTATTTTTCTGGCACCTACGGACGAATCAGGAGTGTTTCGTGTCTTTATCGGATTGAGTAATAGCAAAAGTCATGACATAGATAACATACAAATAAGGCCTGTTAAATTTGTGATAGATGTCTTTTCCCCATTATTAGTTTATATCTTTAACTTGGCCTTGTCAACTGGCCAATTTCCGAATAACATGAAACTCGCAAACGTTTCTGTGTTACACAAGGGAGGGGACAAAAATATAGTTACGAATTATAGATCGATATCTGTACTGACCATCTTTTCTAAAGGGCTAGAAAATTTATTTTGTGGCGTTTAGACGAATTCTTTGTCAAACATTCAGTGTTAACGTACTCTCAATTCGGATTTCGGAAGGGAAAGTCCACAGAATGTGCATTATTATCTCAAAAGAAACTTATATTGCGTAATATAGAACAGAAACAATTGACGCTGGGGCTTTTTATTGATTTTAGTAAAGCATTCGACTGTCTTAATCATACAACGCTCCTTGATAAGCTCTCGTTTTACGGTGTATGGGACGAGTATTTTCCTCTCTGCGACGGATATTGATGAACTTTTTACAAACAGAAACAATGTGCTGGAGAAGTTTTTTTTTTTTTTTTTTATGGCTGTTGTTTTTAGACCTGTAAATAAACTCATTAATACTAGTTATGCTCTAACCATTGGTAGCAGTCAGATTGAAATAGTAAGCTATCATAAAACGCTAGGTGTGATTTTTTCAGAATTTATGCAGTGGGATCATCACATAGAATATTTAGCGCACAAACTGGAAAAAGTGGGCGTTATCATCGGTCACTGTCGGTCTCTATTGCCTACGAATGTTAAAACTCAAGTTTATCATGCTTTGTTTAGTTCGCAAATTAATTATTGCCACCTGGTATGGGGCACCACCACTAAAACAAATATCAATAGACTAATGATTCTACAAAAAAAAAAAAAAGATGCTAAGTTTTATTGCGAATGTTCCCTATGATACTCATGCCGAACCATTGTTTTCAAACCGTAATGTTATGAAAGTATCTTATGTTTATGACTATCGTTTGTTGTCTTCGTATTTATTCTCATCTGTAGAGTTCATTGCTTTTTTATCCGTTCTATCAAATCTAACCAAACGCGAATTCGTCATCAATATCCGTCGCAAAGAGTTCTGGAATGTTCCTCATTTTCGCACCGATTATGAATTACAATCCCTTGTTCATAACCTGCCTAAACTGCTGAACAGATTAATTACAGTGGTGTTGATATTCACTGTTTAACAAAAAATCACTGTATGCGCACTTTGTTTAGATAGATATTCTTGTGTCCTTTTTACTTTTATTTATCAACGATGTCCTGTACGTACAAGGGCACCGGACCCTGTCAAGTCTCCTCATGGAGGCTTTTTGTCCGGTGTCCTCGGCACCAATGTGGCGGAAATCAATTCAATTCAATTCAATTATGCCTATTGAATGACAAATGCAAAGGAAATAGTCAAACTGCTCATGAATGCTGCCTTTTCTGAACACACCCTCGACAGAGTGAGTACTGTATCTCTGGAACTTGTGTCCGAGTCTCCAGAAGAGTCGGGGTTTGACCTCGAACACCCCATAACTTTCCAGATTGGGAAGGAGCCACTGCACTCTAAATTCCGGTGTGACTGGCCCGCTATGGAGGCACTGCTCAAATCTGTAAGCAACAAGGCAAGTTCATGACAGTTATATCATTTTTTAACACTGAAAATTTGAATTAAGTTTACGAGGGGCATTCGAGTTGTAAGGGCTCGTGTCTTTTCTTTGGAATGTGAATGAGAAAGACATGAGGGGCATCTTAAATATGCGGGATTTTATTTGGAGTGAATGCGAGAAGAAGCAACATCGTCAAAGTTGTACATAAAATAATCGTGGCACCACCTGATCTTAACATTCAACACAAATCAAACAGAGCCGTATCTAAGAGTAAGGGTTTGGGAATCAACCCTTCCTATTTTCAACAAAACCTTTATGACAGATGTTACATTATGCTAGTCCTCAATAAAAACATTAAGTATAAATTTCCCTGGCCCTGAACACTCGCTCTTCAAGCAAGATTTCTAAGTGTGCTCCTGTCACAATTGAAAGAAGTATGCAATTATAACCAAAGCAGGGTGCCCAAAAGCAAAAGACATGCCCGATTTAGCCCATTTGCGGAGCACTGGCTTTCGCCAGCTGTAGACCGAGCCGCCAAGGCCTCTTCTTCCCAGACACTAGGTCGGCCACTTCCGAACTGTCGACGAAGAGGCAAAGCTGGTCCTGCAGCTTGCGCTTCATCTTTTCCACCGCCTCCTCTGACGTCCCACAGGAGGCGTTTTCAACCAAGATGGTACCATAGCCAAGTTCCAACGCATGCAGAGCAGTGAAGGCTACGCAGATGTCGTTCGCGAGGCCACAGACAAAGACGGTAGTGATGCCATGCTTACGTAGCTCACTGTGCAGCGAGGTCTCGGAGCACCTTGCGTTATCCCAGAAGGCAGAATAGCTGTCTACGTCTGTCTTTTCACCTTTATAGATCTTCAGGGCCTTGTCTGCGAGTCTTAGGTCCTTGTGCAGCTGTGCACCCCAGCTGCCCTGCACGCAGTGGCTCGGCCAGAGTGTCTGCTCCACATATCCAGACTCAGAACAAGGGTCACAGAAGACTACAGTGTCCAGGACCCTGGCATCTTGCGCGCTCACCTTGCTGCTCGGGTGGAAGGCCCGGCGGTGCTTGTTTTCGAAGAAAGAGATGTGGTCCTTGGGGTGCCAGTCGAAGGTGTAGACGACGACATCAAAGGGCAGGTGTTCGGTCAAGTCATTGATCACCGGAACAACGCTTTCGGGGTCTCGGCCGGCAGGAATGTTCTTGAGGGACAGCGACCCAGAGATGAAGTCGTTCTGAACGTCGACGGCAACAAATGCGCATTTGGGATGGAGCATGGGAACTACCCACTGTTCCCACATGGCCTCGAATTCGGAAAAGTCGAGCTTCCCATCTTGGTTTCGATCAAATATCTTGAAGAGCTTCTCAGCCACATCCTCTTTGTCACCCGCGGGGTCTGCATCCTCAAAATCTGTAAATAATGATCCAAGGAAGATAGCAAACTCTTCCTCGGACAGTGGTTCAGTCTGCGCCTTCTGGAGTTGGCTGAAGCACGCCAGTGGGCTCTCGAAATAACCTTTGAACGTCGGGGCCTCCATTCTCGACACCGTCTGCAATATCGACCGCGTCTCCGTCTGTCTCCGCACGATATGACGCACGTACAGTCGTACACCGGACACCGGACCCTCCTCGCCCTCCTCTCGGCTTGCAGGAGCCACGCCGGATCAAAGATAAAGGGGCAAAGGCAGGAGACGTAGTACAGGCAACCTCCGGACAGAAAGCGAGCTGCGCGGCGCGAACACGGATGGCGACACCATGAAGGCATGAAGGTGTACAGCAGCTGGTGTCGTGGGAGGCGCTCATTACTAAAAACGAAAGAAAAGAATAATGAACCAAACTTCATTTAGCTCTAGCCAAAAATGCATATTATTTCACGAAATACAATTTACATGTTCCTAAAAGTATAACGTATCTTTTTTTTAAAGCTCGTGTCAACATTGCACTTCCTAAATTTCGTATTTTTCTGTTTCTTGCACTTCTAAAACGAAACCGCTGCCTGTGCACAGCCGCGGCTGTGGCTGTGCTCTGGGCGCTCCGAAACCGGTGGACCGTTGCGGTGGCGTCCGTGCACCTGTTCGGTGCTTTCGCGCTTTCGTTCGCCTTCGGTGCGCCAAGCATCGGCGTGCCGATCATCGCTCTGTGCGAGCCTCGCACTTTCGGGCGAGTGGAAAGCTTTTCGTGTCTTTGAACTACCTCATTCGTCCGGTTACGCAATATGTTGCCTAAGCAGCACCGGGGAGAAGAAGCACCCGCTTGTTTGGATCCCAACTGACGACGGTAAGTTGAAAAGTTTTCACCCCAATTGAAACATTACCTATGCTGATCTTCCAGCTACAAAAAATTGCACCATTTTGAGGGTTATGTACATTTTTAGGTAATTGAATATATCGTTTAATTTTTGAAGTTCACAAAATGCCACCGTGATTTCATTGCGATGCACACATTGCGGCGAGCGTTTTTCGGACATGGTTCTGTGGATGAAGACCATCCTGCAAATATATAAGGATCTGTAGACTGCTAACGAAATCCCACCTCCTTTACCTCTCGTCGATTTCGTGAACAACAGTGTAAATCCCCGTCCAGTTAATTGTAGTTCATATGTGAATATTTTTCTGACAGTCTTATAATATTTAACACAGTTCAGGTCGTATAATATCTGCCTGTTTTTATTAGTGTATCTCATGTAGATGCTTTGACAGCTCTAGACTAGTTTACAATGTTTTATTTCCTTCGGAAATAAATAGAAATCTGGACAGTAAAACAATTTAGTTTCGAAAGATTTGCACATAAAAGGGCAGAATACAGACAACAGAGTTTGATCGTGAGATGTGGTATCCGTCCTTCTATGTATAATTCTTTTGCAAGTTTTTACATCTACCAAGGCACTCCCCTCAAAACAATTAACACACGGGTTAGGCTTTTCTTCTTTTTTTTTGTTGCACATAACATAGCAACATTTACGTTGTGTTTTTCTATTTGTTTATCCATACAGATTCTCAAGGCATGAAACTCACTCCAACAAGCCTCAGGGACAGGGAACCCCAATAAACGAAAGGTAGCTTGCGAGGTCACGTTTTTGTGAAGTGCACTTGATTGCTGGCCAACCTATCAAGCTGAACATGTAACCATCAGTGTGCTAGGTTCTCCCTTCGTGATCTATGCAGTCTAATCTACGTTCAACTGTAATTTAAAACGAGAATAGCTTGGAGAAAGAGGATGATAACAAAAACAAAAGAATAGTCTTAAGCTTAGGAGCAGGCCTATGCCACGTTTCATAACCCTGTTTCTCTTCTGAAAGTGTATGTGTTGCGACGAGACAAACTAATGAGTTATTACATCCTTGTGCAGGCTCTGAAAGGATAGAAAACACACATACAGAAAAAAAAATTAGAAAGAACAATGAAGTGGCTGGTCCATCCCATGGGCATCATAGGATCTCGGTGGCCACACCAAGAAAACCTGGTTCAACTTGACGGCGCAAGCGACAGGTATCGGAAGCTCATCAAGAGGCCAAGAGAAATGGGAAATACCAAAGTGGTCTACAGACAGCAAGGTCTGCACAGTATTAAGCAATACGTTTCGAAAGAGTTGGGCTCAGGTCTGTAAGAAAGCAAAAATAAGTTTGCCCAAATAACAATGCATTGTGTTAACTTTTTATTTGCATGGACTAGTCAGAATGACACGAGCTTTCAACAAGGCGTGAAATATTTCGGCTGTGCTTCTCGAGATACGGTGTTGTCCACTGCGTGAGCAGGTTTCTCCTTGCATGATTTTTTATGGAGCAAGATCTTAGACTAACAGAAGCCTCTGAGCATCCACTTTATTCAGAGAAGTTGCTAGCCTGCTGGTGCCCAACAACCTTTAAACAAATACGTATGCTACAGAGAAGATGCAAGCGAGCTGGTGAAGTTTCAACATTGTAAATCCCGAGACGTAGGACAAAAAGAAAAGAAAAAAGCTGTGTCTGTGTTGTCCCCTTTTTTCTTCTCTTTTTGTCCTACGTCTCACGTATGCTACCTTTATTTTTTTTTTTGTGTGTGTGTGGGGGGGGGGGGGGGGATTTGTTCCTTAGAACCAGTGATACCAGGATCTTTGGCAGTTAGAATTCAAACTACTTGGAGATGTCAAGTTTTGCTGGACAATATCTGACCAACTAAAATTTGCTTTATTGCTTTATTGCAAAAGTTGAACAATTGACGTTTTGTCATGATATACATTCGGGTTGGTGTTTAAGGTTCCACAACCAATCGCCATTTAAATATATTTTAGACATACCTCCGACAGGGCTGCATATTTACTTCACAATCGGTTTGCTTCTATGTAACGCATATAGAAACTATAATTATCGTGTTTTCGTGCTATAGAAACAAACATTTCTGTTTCCTATTGCGGTATTTCCTCTTTAATATGGACATCTTTATTCCCCAAAACAATTCTTCATAATGTCATCCATAACCATGAATCAAGGCCAAGAGCACAAATAATAAACAAGGAAGGTGGTATGTTGTTCATTTTTGTCATCTGCAACTGTGATAGGGAAAGATGAGTAAGTGATTCAGACTGGAGACCCCTGAAAATTTGAACCACTGTCAATGCCCAGGTCTTATCTGACAATGGTGAAGCTCTGGGTGAATTCTGAAACCGAAGAGCTTCACCAACCTTTTTCGTCTATTATTTTGTTGTTGCTGTTTTTTTTGTTTTTTTTGTTTTTTGTTTTTACGTTTGTGGTAAGACTTTACAAAGACCACAATAAAAAAATATAAAAACAGGTATTTACCCATTTCGTTCCCAAACTGGCTGTCCATAGTCCGTACTCCGGGATTTTTGTATTTAACGTAACGAGTTAGAATTGTATGGGAACGATCGACCGTGTTAACGAGACATGACTGTATTGTGTTTTTAAATCACGAAGGCAGATATTCTCGCGCCGTGGTTGCATCTGAGTCTACGAAATTTTAAACAGTCACTTGGCGAACTATAGCAGTAATCTTTGGTGCCCGCCGATAGCCTTTTAAAGTGAAACAAGCACTATGTCGTGTTCGCGCTAACAGTGTCGCACATCGTATCTTCACTGTAGCACCTCTTGCTAACATAGATACACCGCGCATTATTTAATTTTTTTCCGCATAGCAAGGCTTGTTTAAAGTGACAATGTAAATTATTTTTCTTTGTCATGCAAATGACTGAAAAAATGTGTCAACGAGTGCGAAAAATTATGCATCTGTTTCGATCTATTTACTTATTGCCCAGGCAGCACGCCGACACTGGGCCAGCGTCGGGGAGATATTGCTCACAATATTGGCCCAGTTTCCTGTTTTGACATTGGCCCAATATTGGACCAATATCGGTTAGCGCTTGTTCTAAAATGGGCCAGAATCGGCGATATCATTTGAGTTCTGGGCAGAGATGGGCGAATATCGGTTTGCGGTGTCAGTGGACTTGGGCCAAGCTAAAGTAACTAGAACCGATCAGTTGGGAAACTGCCATAGAGCCTGCTTTGAAAAGACTGGCACCGATCCGTTCTCGAGAACCGAGCTAATAGCGATCGCAGCGCCGCCATTTTTCTCGCATCGTCCACTCGAGGAACTGCTTCAAGGATACCACCCCCGACACCCAAGCGGACGCGTCGCAAATTACTGCCGAAGTTTGGATGCGCCTAGGTCGGGACGCGGTACCTGAAATCACCGCTGAGACATGGTTGTATAAAAACAATATTAATTGTGCCGCAAACCTTGTAAACTAAAGATTATAGAAAGCATCACGCGCACCCCGTTTTGTACTAATCTCCAAAAAAAGTTACTACAAAAAGAGGTTATTTTTTCGTTTGTTTGTACGGAAAAACACTGTTGCAGCCGCTGATTGCCCGGCGCGCCCTCGGCGCGGCCCGTGGCAACAGCGGCGGCCGCCGCGATTGGCCGGAGCGATTGACCGATTCAGTTTCGTCTTAGAAAAGGTCAAGAATCCCTAATACCGGCCAATATAGCCGGTTCAGACCCGACAAATTACCGGAAAACGGCGCTGGATACTGCATATAAGCCTGGCGTTGGCCGACCCAAGTAATGTTCCGCCGACACCGGCCACATCACAGTAATAGTGGCCCCATCTTCACGGTCCAGCGCCAATATCGGCAGTATCAGAATGATATTAAACATTTCGAAAAGAACCGAGACTGGGACAATAAGGGACGGACAAACACAAAGTCTCAAACACAGCTGAATTTTATTTGACAACGAAGGGTGTTTATATAGGCGTCCAATCCTACACAAATCAAAAGAGACGAAGGAAAGAGAGGGAGAATTGGGTAAACCCGTGCCACAAGCAGTACAACAACAAAAAAAAGAAAAGGTATTACAAAGGAACTGAGAAGTGGTGAGATCGTTTATACAAAAACAAAAGCAAAGCAGATGGACTAAAGTGCATTAGCCCCAAGAAACCCCAACACTATAACATGAAGTCGTTTATACAAAAACAAAGTAGAAGGACTAAAGTGCACTAGTCCCCAAGAAACCCCAACACTATAACAGGAAGGAAGCTACGAACAAACGACCAGGAAACAATAAAGCGAAATGACTTAAAATCGGACAAAGGCCTCAACAGAACAATTGACAAGACGCGCAGACATCAAAATTGTAGGAACTTTCTTTGTTCTTTA